AACATCATTGTAATATAAAAATATTTATTCGTCACTGTTAAATAAATGAAATTAATATATTTTTAAGATAAATTGGCGACAAGGGAAGTTACATCGGAAACAGTGCTTTTGAATTCGTATTCTTCATAAATCACCCCATTTTATCTGTTTATCTATGATTGTTCTAACAATCATTTACCAATGAAACATTGTTAATACATACTTTTGTGTTTTTTGCATTCTGGTGTGCTCGTCAGTGTAAATAAATTTCGCAAGTTACCACCGAAATACGTATAGAAATTCTAATACAGACCGTTCTATTACAATTATAATAATAATTGTGAAAAACATTGTTATTATACCGTGTACAGTAGCGTTCTGAGAAATGGATACTGAGTCATCGGTGTAAAACACTTATTAATTTTGCTTACGCGACATTGATTTTTGAGCTGCTGTTTGCATGATATTATTAAAGGAGCTCAATTGTTTAAAAGAAACTATAAACTGATGAACCGATTTATTATCACCATGCAACCGTTTCTAAATTAAACTGTACAAACGTACATATATTTTTTCCGTAGATGGATTTGTGTATTACAACTCAATCATAACAATGTATATGTATGTTAAAAAATATTCGTTCTTCATAAATCAATATAATCACGATTACAATTCGACAAAATAATGATAAGCGAAAAAAATATATTTATTTATAACGGCAACCATTAGGTATATATATATATATATATATATATATATATATATATATATGTACAATCTACGAATTCAGCATTGCTGCAACATATTTGTTAATGCTACTACTAATTTCGCCTAAATTAATGTATTGCATATAGTTGAAACCTAGCGAACGAAGAGGATGTATTGACATGCATACTCTCATATATGGCTGCATGGTGTATAATAAATACGAAATTATATTTTTTTAATAAACTTATTTGTAGCTATATTTCATCTTCAAAAGTACGCTTTGCTTCCAACAAGATAACCCATTCCAGTGTGTCGTGATACCCAGTTGTGTACAAGTTTAGAGCAAATTGCCAGCAACTAATAACAAAAGTTGTCTAAAAAATCATAGGCATCTGTTTCCTAATTTGGCTTGAGTTTTTCAGGCAACGCCAGCTGACAAAGTGGTAAAGCAAATTGGCAGCAAGTCTTGCAACATGAACTTGCTACCAATGTGCGCGCAAATTGTTTATAACAAATCTTGAATGAAACTTGTAGCCATAACAGGCATTGTACAAAATTTGGCTTTGCAGGTTTTGTTGACTGGGTGGTTTTCTTTTACGTCGACATGTAATGTATTCAATGCCTTCCACATTTTACTATTATTATAGAACTGTTAATACCTACATTTTTCAAAAATGAAAGATATTGTCAAGAACAAAAGGTTACTTTAAAACATTCAGGATGTGTGATCCACAGCCATGGCGCACTAGATAACGTTTTTGTGAGCCTATTTTACCGAAATCATTTTTAAAAAAAACCGTATCTATCTAACCAGTGAAGAGACATAAAATAATGAAAATTGGAATTATTATTAACAATAACAATATTTAGTTAGAAAAACCAAGCGACGGTATTGCGAGCGTTTGGGAAATTTGCTGTCGTCCTGAGTGCGTTAATTCGAGCTGGATTTGTTATAAAAGAATTGAATACAGTATACATTTTTATTAGTGCATTATAAGAGACTTATCAAAATGAAAATATTTACATTCGCATGAAACTGTATTCCATTTTTTAAAAATATAACATTAGAATTCGTAAAATTATTATTAATTTACCATACGAAAGAAAAATTTGCTGCATTATAGGATTGTTAGAAAGAAACAACTGAGAGGGGTTAACTCGTACCATTAATATTTAGCAATTTAAGTGTATACGTGTAATATTATGGATTGACCAAATTTATTTTAATCGCTTTATTATGTAGAAGAAATTCAATATTGTAGTCTGTATGCAGAATGGAAGGCACGACAATAAGTATGTTATAGTAAAGTCCTGTTTGATTAAAAAGTCGCCTTAAAAACCTTCTGGGCAAGTGTTGCAGATCATTCCTCCACATATCGTATATATTTCAAACGCATGATATTATTTGATTGCTTTTAATGCAAACACGTAATATAAATTATTTAACTTGATATAATCTACAGAAATAAAATTGAATTACAATTTACTCTTCGTCTTTTGTATGTACTAAAAATATCACAACGTGTGTATACGATATATTTATTTCTCTACATTTAAGTAATAAATAAAATATTATTACGCATCTCACGCATCTGATGGACATTGACCCATTAATACTTAAATCTGGCTTTCGTACAAAATTCAAGTAACAAATTCGAAATGTGTAAATACATTTAATTGTATGATATATCGGTCTTTAATGGCAGTATCGATAATAATGTTTGCTGAAATATTTTTTAAAATACTAAAATGTATAATTACCTATTTGTACGATGTATGGTACGGTAATGGAAGAGAAGTCAATACAAAATTGTAATGAGTATTAATGGGTAAATGAACGTGGACAGAAGCCCCGGTGGATTTTTAAGGACTAAAGATTGCTTCGCGCGTTAAATTTAACCGAATATACAGAGTATTGCGGCAAAACTATTAACAATAAGAGAATCCACTGAATATCCTTTTATCGTAAGGTTACCACGTAAACATAGCGAATTTATTGGCACTAAGGATAAAATACATATACACGGCAACGATACATATGAATCATATAGGACCATGTTTTATGTATGTAAATATATCTATAAAGAAAAATTCACACATTTAACGAGTATGTGACGTGTAAATAACTCAGAAGTGAGTATTGGCGTTGTTGATGGAAAAATTAAGGTAAAGAAAGCAAATGATTAGCGCAGGAACATAATATACATGTATAATGTAATTGTAACGTTGAACGGGACTACATTTTATACGACACGGTGTAAAGTAGTCTCAGGATGTGTAACATATTGAAGCTAAAAAGACAAAACGTTTAATCACTGGTTAGGCATTTATCTATGCATAAGGTATGATATTACGAATAAGTGAATGTCAAAACTTGCTCGTTCGTTAGATTTCTCACAACGAAATTTTACCGTTATCACATTTTGGTTGAGCTGTTGAGCCTTTGGGGGACCCACCCATTTTCGTTTCGTCATGGCATTACTTGTAATATATATTCTTGCTGTATTTTTAATGCATTGACTGTCAGATTAGTATTTATAAAAATTAATATAGGGGTAATGTCCGCTTTTTTTTAACGAAACATAGGATATGTGACTTGAAATTGAACACGATACTTGTTTCCTTAGCACCAGTTAATCTTATTCAATTTCTTTAAAAATTAATTTTTAAGATGTAATGTGTTAAGTTTGTAATTAAGGATTTAAAGTTTACTATCCATATAATGCTGACATGACAAACAATGTGTTAAGTGATAGGACATAATCCACCTTTCCCAACACTTGAGCTTTTTAACAACTTTTTACAATTGAATGACTTAATTACGAAACTGTACCAATTGATATAAAATATTTTTTAGAGTAAGGTTTCTTCATCTGGGATAAACAGGCCCCCCTCTTCCCACAAATACTCCTCATTTATTTTAAAAACTTTTTTAAACTATAATTAATAGATATTTTTAATATCCAATTCATATATGTATATTTTATTTCTTGTAATTATAAACACTTTGTAAAGTGTCCATAACTGTAACCACAACCTGAAAGAGGCCCATTGCACTGAATGATTAGAACATTTTGGATAAAATTTCCTGCAAATTTGACAAATTAATAGAAAAATTACAATTAATTGAACGCGGAACGTTTTTATTAAGCAAAAATGTACTTAAAAATTTGTCAGTTTTTTGTAAATAATCCAAAACTTTTAATAAACTAATGTAAATGTTTTATTTGATCATAAAATACTCGTATTCCATATTTTTATATCATATTAGTACACATCGACAAATTAGACCATTAACTTAATTACATTTGTTCGTTGAAGTGTAATAAATAGACAACGGATGTTTATGTATGTATCTATAGTAAATTGAAAATGTGTAAACAGAATGAAAGAAAAACTTGAATAAAGAGTAAAAGGACTTTTATTTGATTTCTGGCGTTACTTAACGTTTAATAAATGAAATAAATTTCTTTTTATTTCTTAGTTTTACAAAGTGAACTTGCATAAACATCCACAGTAGTAACATTATAAATATACGGGCTTTGTTTAATTGAATACATGATACACGAAGTTATCATCCGCTACAAAGTAAACCTCGACAGCTTTAAGCATGTCCTAAATTTTAATATTATTTATAATCCTGCGACGTTAACATTATTATTGTATGGTGTGTATATCCCTGTGCAATAACAGATGTAAGCGTGAAACGAACGGTTACAATGTTATGCAACAAGTGAGTCATTTAATTGCGCAACTGAACTCGTTTGCGGAAGTATTTCTTGTTCTATTCATTTGTCTTTATGAGTTTTGTTTCTTTCTTGATACTTGATTAGACCTTAATAGAATAAAAGTGTAACCGACATTTGAAAAGAAATGAAGTTACATACAGCAATAATAGTAATGTAATTATGTCTTTGTTGTTATTCAATACATGATCGTTTATCTTTTATAAATTTGAATTGTGAGTAACTTGCCTTTGACAGAATACAACCATAGAGTTAGTATACAATTTAAAGATATCGAGACTATCTATAGAATGAATTGCGGTAGAGAACGAGCATGATGTACGATACTATTAACTTCAGACAATAAAATGTTATTATCGATGTTACCTTATGAACTGTGTTTATTCAATGTTACAGCCCCCCCCCCCCCGGCCTACCCATTTCCGTTTAATTAAATACATGCACCATACATTATCGATACTGGGAGAATTAGGAACGAATTCATATAATATTACTTACTAATATACATATATGTACAAACAGGGCACTTTATTATTCATCATGTATATATACAAAAATAATTTTCTCTTATTCTGTAATTACTGATTGAATTCGTTTAACAGCTTTCGTACGTTGCAAATTAGTTTGTTTTTCATTCTCTAGATCTTCCTTTAATTTTTCTACATGATTCGAATATCTGATTTCATTTGCAACAGAATCTAATACTAATTTCTCAATTTCTGGTATTACTTTATGAGCATTACCCAACATATGTTTAAATATTCCCACTTGTTTAGATGTAATAATTGATATTGCTGTACCAGATTTGCCTGCGCGTCCTGTTCTTCCTGCTCTATGTATGTATCCTTTAATATGTTTAGGAAGATCGTAGGATATAACTAATTGCACATTTGGAATATCCACACCTCTTGCTAAGGCATCAGAACTTACTAGTCTGAAAACATAAGAAAGATGTAACGAAATATTTAAAATGATTTAAAATTATCTATATATGGTAATGACTCCCATAAGACACACAGAACAAGAATCTCATTTTTTATGTAGAGGTGCGATATATGTTTTTGATAAAGAAGCGAATTTTTTTACGTCGATCTCAAATGGAGCTTCCGACATTAGAACTCTCACGAATCTGATATAAATAACGTGCGACCATTACGTACACTGAATAATAATAAGATAACACGTTGAAGAATTATAACTTAAACTTTTACATTCTCTAAAAAATGTTTATGAAAAAATTTATATCAATTCTGACGAATTTATGTAGTGAGGAAAAGCAGTATTCTTAAATACCAGTCACTTGCGTTGAATGATAAACACAGTGATGTTCTTGCTTTTAAGTAATATGCACTACTAAACTCACGAAAATGATGTAATATAGGAGATATTACTGTAATGAAGTAATGAATAAAACGTACATTTGAATTTCTCCAGCAGCAAATTTTTCAAGTACGCCTTCACGTTGCTTCGGCATCAATTGTGCAGAAAGTTCTCCTACTTTTAAATTCTTTTCAGATAAGAATGATTGCAGCAAAAGTGTCAGTCTATGAGCACTTTCTCCAGAATTAGTAAAAATTAATGTTTTAGAAGTCGTGTCATTTCTAAGTAGCATTTCATACACAGCCACTGGTTTAAATTCTGTTACACACTCTACTGCACGTTCTGTTAATTCTTCAGGACTCGTGTATCGACCTATGAAATCACCTATTTCCTTATCCAAGTTTACATCCTCGTCATTACCTGATACCAAAACAGATGTAAACAATATTGGTTGAAACAGGCCAAGACGATTCAATTTCTCTGGATCTTGAGATAAGGTAGCACTGAATAATAGTTTCTGAGCAGGAACTTTACTATTTGAAAAATAAAAATTTATGAATGTGTTAAAGCATGTAAAAATGAAACTGATTCCTCAATATAATTATTAATAGAATATTACTTATGAAATAAAATAATAATTGTTACATAATAACCTATGGTGTAGATTATAGAGAGTTAATCGTGGAATATTATAATGATGTTCAGGAAGATATTCTAACCAGTCTGCAGTTCTGTCGGCTTCATCAATAACAAGAAATCGGAGATCATCCAAAGAAAATCCTGATGTCTTCAAAATATGATCTATTAAACGTCCAGGTGTAGCAACAACTATATCCACTACAGACATATACTCTCCCCTAGCAGCTTAGAATTAGAAAGACAAAATATTATAACTTACAGGGAATGCAAGTATCCTATTAATATAGTAATTCTAAGCATGCAAATACATACTCTTTTTAAGAATACTATTTTGTTCTTGTTGAATTGGAGATGCACCAGAAAGTAAACCAACCTTCAGGCTTGTATAAGATGTGTATGTAACTGTTACTTTATAAACTTGTGCAGCCAATTCCTGTGATGGTACAACAATTAAACAACGTATCTTTGGCACTAATCGAAATTGTAATATCTGCACAATTGGTAAAACATATGCTAAAGTCTTTCCTAGAAAAGGAAATAAAATAAAAAATGTAGATTAACAGTTTCAAACTGTAAGTTTCTGATACTATTATTGTCATTTAGTCACAAATTATAATGTAACAATATCACTAAATATGTATCGAATGTTACATTTTCAGTTCTATGAATTAAATATGTTCGTACCACTGCCAGTGGGAGCTGACACACATGTATCACGTAACCAAAATCCCTGTTCTTTATCTTTATTACACTTCAGTAACCAAGAAAGTATACGTGCTTGAACAGGAAACAGTTTATTGATACTATTAGCTTTCAAAGTTTCAATAAGTTTAGAATCTAAAACTGAAGTAAATTCTTTTAAACTTGGACCACTATTTAAATCAATTGGTATAATTTCTGGGTTTGCCAACCAGTCTGGTAATACCCTCTTAACTTCATGTTTTTTCCTTTTAGTTTTAGCACCCAGAATTGTAAAGTCTTTTTGATGATCTCTGTCTTTCTGTACTTTGCTTGAATCAATAGATTTATTAAACACTTCATTCAATTGATCACCAATATTTTCATTTTGTATACCTTCACCATTATTTTCATTAGTTTCATGTTCTACAAAATTTTCTTCTACTTGAACAGTATTCTTTTTCTTCTTCTTCTTTTTTTTCTTATGCAAACTATCTTGATTTATATTCTCTATTTCAGACTGTTGTCCAATATTATTAACAAAGACTTCGTGAGTGGAGGTATTTTGCACTGAACTTTCATTAAATTCGTTACTCTTTGATTTTTTTCTTTCATGCTTAGGTTCTTTTGCATCTTGAGAATTTTCAGCAGCTCTTTCTCGTTTACGCTCTTCTATTCTTTGTAATAATTCAGACAAATGCTTCTTTTCATTTTTTGTTTCCTTTTCGTTTTCTCCTTCATACCTGTTGATAATAAATATATATTAATTGAACAAATATTCACAGAAACAAACAGAGATAAATCAGAATTTAAAACAAAAATATCAATTTTAGGTAAATTGATAAGAAAAAATTATTATATAGATATGTATATATATACATAGAAACATTAGTTGATTTTGTTGTTTATTAATTAGAATTAGTAATATTACATTCTACACTACACTTGCCTGTTGATTACAAATAAACTCATTTGTTTTGACAGCACTACCCACGTGTTTTAAAATTTGATAGGTTATGTATATGCATAGAAGCTAGTGCCATCATGCATTTATTCACTAGAGATGGCGTGCAAAATCACTAATGGTGATTTATCACAGTGATCGCCGAATCATGATCACGGTCGTGATTTAACTTCATTCAGCTCAAAAGAAGTAAAATTATATTAGTCCCCAGATGTCACAAGACGCCCAATAACGCCTTGAAGACGGCTTCAAGACGTCGTGTGCTATCTGGGTCTAATTATTTTGTTGAATCTCATTCGCATATTTCGACAATTTCTGATAGTCTTAACCAGATAACACAGTATCTTAACATGTAGTTACACATCGACACAAATACGTTTTGTACAATTATGATATTATAGATAAATCTGCATTACATATTTTGACTATACACGAGCGTTTCGTCATAACAAAACATTCATTCATCTCACAGTCATGAATGACGTACATATCTACTTTACGTGACTCATGGATTAGTTGTAAATTTAATTGTCTGTCATTCGCTGACTTCATATCTAATACTAACACAGTTGTATACAATTTCATTAACCATTTTGTTGTTCAAAAATCAATATTTTCTAATGTACTGAAAATTTCTTAGAATTTTTATTTGCGAACATATAGGATTTGTCCATAATTGCAAAAATGCACATATCTATGGAATATATTCATTAAAGATTTAAATAATGCAGTGTTCTTATTGAAGAAATTAAAAGAATATAGTATGTTAATATTCACTTATAAAATTGTTAATGAAAGTTGTTACAATTATTTTTACTGTTCGTTTGTGTTTCGCTATCTTCTATTTACAGAATAAACGATTTCCAAATGTTTTTATATCAATGTTTTTTATTCAAGAACAATTTACTTCCAAAAAGAAGGAATTTATACATCTTGAAAATATCGATTAAAATTGATTAAAATCCTATCACTACAGTTTCTCATTCTTACTCTTAATGAATGGAATCTCAAGTTATTCTATGTTTAAATAGATCTCGAATTTATCAATTGCAGATTGTTGCTCCTGAGTTTTCATTATATTCATTGCTTCTTTGTCTTTAATGTAGTGTAAAGCAATTTATAGATAAGTCATGTACATTTTCCGTTAATATTTAATACAAGGAAAATCGTAATATTTACACCACGACGAAACTTCCATCACAGATTTTTTCTGCACGGTGTACAACACCGGAAGTGTTTTCGCCAGCAGTAATTACGACACCGGTAATGGAGTCTATCGCGAGAGAAATAGTTGCTAAGCGAACGAGTAGCGCCGTTATGCTCCATTCCTGCGGTCGCCATATTTTTCGTCCGACCAACGAAGGATTTCAGTGTGGTATACTTTGAGGAACTCAATGATAACCCCTACCACGCGACGAGCCATTCGACCATCACCTTGTCCTTATTTTTTGGGATCCCATCCCGCGTCGTTTCGGCAAACGATAGCTACAGCTACAACCTTTCTCGTTGTGCTTTTAAGCGCGTCTCCACTTGAACTCAACAGGAAATCGAATTTTACGGAGAACCTTCTAATTTACGCTTTAATCTGCAATATTCCGTTACTCGGTGTTTTGTAAATAATTCAGACAATTCATACTACTTTCCCAAATCTTTTACTTCCAACTCAGATAATATTAGTTACTTACAGTTCTGTTTGAAATACCTGCATAGTTTCTACAATACTGGACACGTATCATATTTTGTCTGAAAAATTACAAAAAAAAGAGCAATATTACATATCATGAAAATAAATTTTGTCAATAACTGATCCACACGTATTAAAATTCATCTAGCTGAACATACTTTGAATAAGAAAGTGCTTGATCAAATTAAAGTTACATATTTTATGTATTATTACACACAGATCAATGAAATACCAAATCACTATGAAAATATATAAAAATATGATAATACTTCATATCCTTAATCAATTGTATTTGTTCATTTTCATATAAATTCAACTTTTATGTATGTCAGTGAGTAAAAACATCAAATAACGTTTAATTCGCCACTAATTATAGACAAGAATAATAACTTCAAGCAACAGTACAATATAAGTATTGGAAGCATAGTACGTTTCATTAAACATTGTTTGCCTCCTAAGAAAATATTTAATCATAAGGACTTACAAATAGGCCACTTAAAAGTTAAACTATTAAACTCTTGCAAAAAAGCAAAGGTCATCTAGCTGTTCTATGCCAAAAGTACAAAATTTATTTTACACGGTTAGATACGAAAAACCGTAATAAAAACCATAATATCGTCGCAGTTGACTTTTAAATCTGATAAAGCTAACACGACTTTGGACGGATCTAGTGAAAAAGTTTTGACAAACAATCACTTCAACGTTTCTACTACTGCAGCATCCTCTTAACGTCGTCATGTTACAGCCAAAATCAATATCCAAAGTAGCTCGATGATGCATAGCCAATTCTTAGCTACCGCGTGATTAAGATCCTCGTTTCTGTTGACAAATATTCGTGGAAGTACTACCAATGTGCTTGTTTCACGAACAGAACCGTGGCATGAGGAAGTCTTCCTCGAGATTCTGCTGAAGTAGAGACGCACCCGCAGCGGTTTTCATGCTCCACGTCATCAGGCGTCTCTACGTCGACGTCCCCACCACCTAGCTCCTTTTCGCTACTCTTTATATAGTTCATCTGCAATTCAGTGACCAAACTACACGGCATCACGTAACAACAGCGAACCTCTACGATTCGCAAACGGTGGTTATCTATTAACTAATTCCATAAGCTAGTGGCAGTGACAGTGATACCGGTTGGGGCTTTGACAGCATTCCAGTGCAGTGAGAAGGTAAAGCTGTAGTTGTATTTTGCTAGCTATTCACCACCACCGTACCTTTTGTATCTTTGAGAAAAAGTAGTGCAATTCCTTACTGGACCGGAATTGACACCAGTAATATCAGAGATTAAACCAAAGCTTTGACAATTCACGATAAATTATAATGTTGATACATCGTTTGTTTGTTCTTTTTTTTAAATATAACTCAACATAGTATAAAAATAATTGTATGAACCAACCGGGGAAGTGCTGATACATTTGTGTACACGAACATTTTTGTGGAACTGTTTTGTACAAGTTATATGACCTGTGTTTTGTATTCGAATTATTTTACAGAGATTCACATTTTTAAATTCCGAATTATTAAAAGAATTATTTTAGTTGTTTATATATTTCTATTTTTGTAGATTACCTTTATAATAACGAAAATTAGACAGAATCTCATTTCTTTCATTAAAGGCTTATATATATGTGGAAACTAAAATAAATATCTCGTTAAATTTTCGTGGAAACTTGCATTTTAACGTATTCTAGATAAAACTAATGCATAAAATTTGCACTTTAATAAAAATGATTAAATTTCTTGTCTCAATACAATTTTTATTTTTGTTATTTTCCTCATGAGAAATCATTACCATTCATTCAAAACAAAGTCCTTTTACTTTAACATTAGAGAATTTAGTGTTAGAAGAATTGTTAGAAGGATTGTTTATGTTCAAGCTTAATTTTTGTACTGTTTTAGGTTTACAAAAACTCTAAAAAAATTCGGAGATATGTATGAAAATCTCTGCAACATTATACAATCATTTGTCAAGTCAAATGTTTAAAAATTTTTTCAATAAAAATAATAAATCGGAGAAAAGTCTGGGAAAAATGGGATTTTGATTGGATCGTCAACGACCCACATTGCCTACGGAGGGTTAAATTGAAATTACGTTCAAACCTAAACTTTTATTATGATAAACTTAGGATCGAATATCAAAATCTAAGCTTCAAGCATCTTAAGACATAACATTGGGGCGGTAAATCATATCGAAGCATATTCAAGAAAAATTGGAGTCTATCATCGATACTTACAATCAAATACATTTAACATCCTTAGTTTACCGTAGACAACAAAATGATTTTTTAATTTATAATTTTTAATTCATCGATTTGTATCTAATAGAATAAATTTTTTATTCTGACTATCGATCAAATAAAATTGGGTCACAAGGAATCGATAACGTGTTCTGCATAGTAACAAAAATTACACTACCGGGTATCCTTTATCTATTACATTTCAGATTCCAACCCGATTACGTTACTGACCTCGTCGATACATCACGCCACACGTAATATTTATAAATAACGAGCGTACTTTCAAAGGCTTCCAACTCGATTTAGCGGAATTACTTTTTACCACCTCAGCTGTTTCGTAACATTAAAAATATAATAAACATCGATACATGTTCTTCCATTAATTGTATTTCTTGTATTAGTCACGACAGGATAGCACAAATCGTTTTACAAGCGTCGAGATGACTAACTGCTCATTGCCTTGAAATATCTTTGCACTGTTTCATTAGAAATACGAATAGGTATGCAAATTGATTTGTTTCACGTTTAAAGTACATAAATATCAATATAGAATCAGTCGTATGTACATATGTATATTGAAAGAACATTCGCACATACAAAATCAGAATAGATTTTTATTTATTAATAGGCATAGATTTTTATTTATTAATAGACATTCGTGTAAATTATTACTGAACGACGGATGTTTATTCAAATTTCAATTTTTATACACCAATTTACGAATAGGAAAAGAGAACAACTATTTATTTCTTCTTATAATAATTTGATTAGTTAAAAATAAACTAAATATTTTTGACCAAAAATTATTCCTATTTTTACTTTACATTATAAATACGTAAAATCTGAAGACTAATAGTCGCCAACAAATTTTCAATTTATACAATGCACATATAAAAGTCATTTACTTTAATGTTACGAAATGCTCTATTCTATCACTCGTTAGGCAGGATGTCATTAGCCGTTTCTAAATGAGTGGAAAGTTATTATCGAAACATAAGAGAAAGATAGGAGGACTTTGGAGATGAACAACAATCCCTGAGGGCGTAACATTAATATTTATCTTATCTTTTTCTATTTATATATATTTATCTCAATGTTTTTTTTAAAAAAACGTACAGTCCTAAATTTTTTGCATGTACTATACATAAATAATACGAATGGAAGGGGATCAATTCTAGAATTGGAAATAAGTTTGAATTTCAAAATATATTTTGTATAGGGAGTTTTGTTTTTGAGGAAAATATATTGGAAAATCAATGTAATAAAATTATTTTAAAAACCAGTTTGTTGTTAATGGTTGTGGCTAATAAATTGTTAGTATAATAATGATTTTTAATCAATTTCGACACGTCCAACTTTATTAAACGTTTTCACAGGAGAAACTGGCACTCAACAATTTTTTGTCATATCTCCTATGCTGATGTCGTTATAACAAAGATATAGTATTATCATACTTTTATTTATAATTAATATAATTTCTTTATTTTATTAAGTATTCAGTTTTAATACTACACATCCTAGATAGCAACGTACATCCAAAGGACGTCCGTTTCACGTCCAGTTTATATCCGAATGTCCTACGTCTATTTTGGATATCCCTAGGATATTCGTAAGACTTAAATTTCGTATGTTCCAGAAACGTCCATCTCGGAAGTCCTACGAATGTTCTCAAGACTTAAATTTCGCATGTTCTAGGACTTTCCGTCTTATGTCTTAAGAATGTTCGTAGGATTTAAATTTCGGATGGTTTCGTTTAGTAATTTTGAATTATTAGAGAATTATTAGAGAAACAATAGAGAAGTGTAACGACACTAATGGTTTTGTGCGGAAACTTTAGGAAATTTGAAAAAATATTTTTTTTCTTAAACTATCTCAAACCAGCACAGAATCAGTATTTTGCTTTGAAAATAAAAATAAACACAATGTACACACTATATTTTTACAATTATATTTTCATTATAATTCTTTATAGGAAATTCAACCTTTTATATATTAACAGAAACTAGCTTGATATAATTTCTACTAAGTGCGAAATTCAATGGTTATCACAATATAAATTGTAGTTGGTAATTCAGTTTTAAACATTAATTAAATACTTAAAATAACTAATTAAAATAAATACTTAAATACTCAGACATTTGTTGACGGTAGGCTGTCACATTTATTACACCAAATTACGTACCAAACTGCGAATTTTATTTGAAAATTAAAAAAAATTTATCACAAAAGGATGATAAAACTAAAGATAACGAGGATACGTAAATAGAAGTTGTACATGTAAATGTTTTATCATATAATTATTATTTCGAAACTATGCGAATGAATTTGTAAGTCACAATAATATAAACTTCTATTTAATTAGTTTATACATTTCTGTAAGAGCAAATATCTCCAAAAATTAATATTTGCTTCCGAGTTGACGTTTATCTGATTAGTAAGTATACAGAATGTATAAGCTGTTCACAGGTCAGAGAGACTAAAAAATCTTCACTTTTTGAATTTTTAAAACTTTTAGTTGCAAAACACTTGATTGGTGTGTAACATTTAATATTTAAAAGAAATTTCTTTGATCATTTCTATGGTGTTAGCCACTCTGACTACTCTACTAACAAGTGTCTAGTGATTGTAATGCCTAACGAGGCATGAAGTATAATAAATTTTCAACATGAATTGAGCTAATAATAAAGTAAAAAGGAGACTAAACTTGTCCGCTAGTCGTGCATCGCATTGTTGAATGCCAGTTTCCGTGCCATCGCGTATGTATGTACATTCTCCGTTTGGTAGCTCCCACCAATCCTACGAAGAATGTTTGTGGGGAGAGTTAGTCCGCTTCAGTCGGTTAGGAGAAGCGTACGGAACCGGTATATTGGTACGGCAGAAGCAACGAGCTCGATCCGCTATTCCTTTACAAGAAGGTAAATGCCACACCCTGGTTAGTTTCTTCCTTATTAGCGATCAATACAAGACTTTCGGGCATCGATACGAAAATTTCTTGGCACGTTTTCTGGCATATTTGACGCGCAAAAAGAGAACCACACGTCATTAGTTTTCGAGATATTTGCGTTAACCTATGACATCATTGCTTGTTTAGCTGACTTCATAGTGATATGTGCAAGTTAATTTGAAGGCTTAGAAAATTAATTTATTGAAATAATCTATTAACTTTTCGAGTTTTTAATTTGTAAGTGGTAAAAAGATGATCTTCGATCATTAGACATGTATGATATTAAAGAGAATGAGAAGTGTGATACTTATCTATCTAATTGAGTAATATATAATTATTTGTAAGGAAAGATTTCTAAACAGAACTATGCATATTTCCTATGAAGCTTTTCGTAGCAATTTATATCGATAATATTGATTATATTCGTTTCATTAGCGAAAGAAAATATTTTCGTTGACCTGAATAATTCGAATTTTCAAATTAGAATGAAAGGGAGCGCCTCTGGATCGATTGTGTCCTTAGACAAGACATTACGACGTTCGAAGGACGTCATCGTGTTCAAATATTTATGTTTTCATTTCATTACATGCACGCAAATCGTTTCTTACTTAGAACAACAATCAGTTACAATATTTAGAAATTTTAGTGATGGAATTAAATTACAATACTACTGAAATTAAGTTAATACATCAAGCGATATTTCTTTATTTTGTTATATAGAATATATACAGAAAAACCTGAAGAATTTATTATAATTACAAGAAAATACTAAAAGAGCGATAATGACATTGTTTTTAGATTTTAGTTTCTAATTTATTCCATTGTCTTTTCTATAATACAGGCTAAAATTAGTCTATGATATTTATTTAATCTGTTTAATAAATTATTTTTGCTACATGGAATCCAGGATAAATAATGCTCGTGCAATGTTCAGAAAACTACTACTTTCTTCCCCACTAAAAAACTTTACTCTTGAAAATAAATAGAACCATAGTTAAAACCAAATTCGAAAAATATGTTCCAAGATCTCTAGATTGTGATATAACATTAAGTATTGTGATACGTGTCAAATTGATTCACAAATGCCCCTAATAAAAGACACTATTGGAATAAAATTTATTATAAAATTATTCTCTTATTTTTCATTTATTACTAGATTACAGATTTTTATCCATACCCGAATTTTTTAGACCACTGAGGGGGAAACAAAAATTTTCACAAAATGCTTATCTTTTGTACACATCAAGTATCTTATTATTTCAGGCTTGAGGTTTTACGTAAATTATTTTTATCTCTTAAGCCGTACAAGTAGAACGGCACTTGTGCCGAAACAAATTCGCAACTGTTAGTACGTATTTATCTACAGCGATACATGACTCATAATTATGAGATTCAATGCTTTACGTATGAAAGCGATTATGTCTCCAGGAACAGGAGGTTCGCAGAATGTTAGTGTACATAAACGTGAATGTTTCAGATTACTGCCTTCTTACGTGACTCATTCATAGTTAAACCAGAAGTAGTTCATCCACGTACTAATTTTCTATTTCATTTTTAATGTGAAAAGCACCATTACTATATTAACTTGTTAAAAATTAAAAAAAACAATTATAGATCATGATTTGTTAAAATAAGTTTAAAATTAATTGATTAACCCAAATTAACTTAATATCAATGGTAACGTAATAAATAATATTTTATAATGTATATTAAAGTATATGCAGCAATTCCAATAATTACAATATGATTTACTGAATCTAAAGAAAATATGAATAGTAATTGAATATATTCTTTGATGTTTTATGATAGCATTTACGTTATTTCATCCTTCGATAAGATATTTTTAAACGATGCATTATAATATAATTTGATTTTATTGTTTAAAGAACTGTTATTATATAATTTTCAAATGTTTTGTTCTATAGCTATGAACCCTTTTGAGAACCAATTAGAGTACATTGTAAGTAAAACTATGTGTCAGGCGTGGAAATTGAGTATTGTGGTCTCAATTGCATGTTTAATTGTAACGAACTTGTGTAACTTCACAGTTAATGTCTTTTCACGGAAGATAAGTATGTATGTGGAAAAAGTACAATAGATATGACAAATTTATAAATTGTGAACTAATATAGTGACGTTTAATTTGATATACTTTTTCAATATGTTTTTTTATGAAAAGCACATATAGTTTTAAACTATTAGTTTAGAAACATTTTCAAATTTATACTAAGTATTTAATCATTTATTTGTTACAGATAATCCGTACAATGTCGGCCAGTCAGTACTACCACGTGCAGGTAATTATCAGACATGAATTTATGTAATTTCAGAGTCGTTATTAATCGAAATAAATTTTGTATCCTTATTTGAAAAAGTTCTGAATTACTATAGTTCATGGTGTCTCAGACACTATTGTCACAAATATACAGTTTTTTCAAGAACTATTAAAATGAAAATTGTAACATTACAATTCAGTTAATAAGACCTTTCAAATGAACTTAAACGTTTTTTTAAAATTCTGAATTAACGTTACAGCAAATAGAGTTCTAAAGTTAACATTAAATTCTTAAAATATAAATTTTAACGCTAAGCTAGAACACGGAATGTTCCGCAGTATGTTATAGGACCGACGAGTTTCGTTCTCGAGATAATTGGTAGCATGTGTTTACCTCGTATATGATTATATTTCTATTCGTGTTTATAACCTTCAGGAATAGTGTGATGTTATCAATTTTTCACAATAATTGAATAGAAATTTATAGGCAGAAGATCAATGAGAAACAAATTATATACTACTATGTAGTGCTTCTATTTATTGCAAGTAGAAACAGAAGTAATAGGCAGACATGTTAATCGATCTTATTCTGAAGTACGAATTTGAACTTACAAGGAAAGGTACGGAAATATCCCCCTCCGATTTTGATGAAACTTCGTATGTCTGTTAAGTAGTAAAAAATGAGGGATGCATATTTTTTTTTATCGTCTGAAACGCGACTTTAAGGGGTGAAACCACCCCTCAAAGTTACGATCCGAAATTTTTTTGTCATAAACAAATTATATTTCGGACAATTTGTTAGTACCATATTATTCTACATAAAAAAACGGCAAACCTCGTCCATTAGAAGTGTTCATGTATCTCATCTGGTTTTTGAGATAGTACTTTCGCGTTTAAAGTCGCGTCTCAACCGATAAAAAAAATACGTATCCCTTATTATTGACTGCTTAACAGACATACGAAGTTTCATCAAAATCGAAGGAGGACACTTCCGTGCCTTCCCTTGTTAGAAGTTTAATTTTCTCGAAAACGAAGGTCTAATATGAAAAATAGTTATTCCACAGTTCCGATCTGTTTTTGTATGTAATTTATACTCATTGCAGCACACTCGTTATACAGGTTGTCCCACTCGAACCTTTACACGCAATTATCTTCCGAACTATTTGTTATTCCAAAAAATGTTTCAAGCAGAACTTACTTCGTTTCAAGGCGTACATCTTGCGATTTTCACAAATCTAATCTAAGTGGACGTGCCTCCGAGATTTCAAGATGATCTATCTTTTTATAATTGGGCTTGTACCTACGTTTTCATTAAGTAGACGTATGGCCCATTCCGTGACGAATTCATTGACCTAAATATGTTAGTCTTTTAAGGTAATTCAAGGTCATTTATTAGTTCTGAACCCCCACATATTTCATTTTGGACAAAATTTCTAATAGCGAGTGCAAAAAATTTGGCGTGGAATGACCTAAATATAAGACTTTTTATGTATGTCCAATAATCCGTCTTTTTCTTAGTGCACGCCAACGGTGTACCCTGCTGATCCATTCAACGCAGAGGAAGATGCAACCATTCTGCGAACCGCCATGAAAGGTTTCGGCACCGATGAACAGGCGATCATCGACGTCCTTGCCCATCGCGGTATCGTGCAGCGACTCGAGATAGCCGATAAATTCAAAACGATGTACGGAAAGGATCTGATCTCGGAACTGAAGTCCGAACTCGGAGGGAACTTCGAGAAGGCTATTTTGGCGCTGATGACGCCACTGCCAGAGTTTTACGCTAAAGAACTTCACAACGCGATTTCTGGGATGGGCACGGACGAAGGTGCTCTGATCGAGGTGTTGGCCTCCCTTAGCAATTATGGTATTAAGACCATATCCGCTGTCTACAAGGATCGTAAGTACCCATAACTCTTCGTCCTCATTACGCTCCTCTAATTTGATATTGAAAAAAAAAAAAATGCGGGGTGCTACACGCAATATACAGGGTGAACCACGAATCGTGATCACTAGAGATTACTCTGTTATTAGCAGTCCGATCGAAAATGTTTTTATCAGGTACAGCATGGTTTCAAGAGAGCTTTAACGTGATTATAGCAAATTTTTTGTCAACCCTTTTTTTCATTGATTTTTCAAGGTCATCTTCAATTTTTTGCAAATATACCTATAATTTTTTTACGCCTATCTGTTAGAGGATTTCAAGACGAATTCGATAAGTATCATAACATAACATGTGTTACTTTTTGTTTCATCTGGGTCGGGAAAAGATTAAAGAAATATTCGAACTGTAATATTACAAAGAGTATCGCATACTACGCCATTGTACGCGTTCCGATGTTGAGCTCTTGCCTACTGTTTCTAAAAATTTCGTTCTGTACATTGGAACATATCTAATGATATCTACTTATCACGATTCATGGTTCACCCTGTGTACAATAACCAGGATACAGATGATTCCACCGACGATAGCAAAGGAAAATTTAGAATAAAATTGTTTATAGGTGCTTCGTTTTTTTATAAAATTGAATCTGGAAATGCAACTCAGCTGTCGGTAGGATATAATACATATACATCGCATTTTTAATACTACGGATGAGCACTACGTGAATTCCAAATAAAATAATAATCTTTTCTTTAAGTATTTTTGTATGTGCAAATTCACTTACGTATATTTATTTTTGTAGGTTTTCAGTACTAGCAAGAGTTTAATTTCCTATATGAAAATAGTTAATTAATATTTTTAATTTATAGACCAGATATGATTCAGTTGACTCACCGATATATATCTATTTATGTATATTTATTGGCGTATTTTGAGTTGATATTTTTACTATAAATTCGAAACAAATAATTTACAATATTTCCTCAACGTTAGATTCTCTGAAATCAACATGTATAAAATTTAAATGCTAAAATCAACTGAATAATATTCATAGAAATTGGTAAAAATCGCAACTAAAATCCTAATGTATATTTGCAGTGTACGGAAACGAATTAGAAGATGACCTGAAAAGCGACACATCCGGTTACTTCAAGAGACTACTGGTTTCTCTGTCGTGTGTAAGTAAATCTTATCCGTATGACTCCTTACCGTAAAGTTCGTAAAGAGCTATGCCACTGAGGTTACTTTTACAAATTTCCTGTATTAAAACTAGGTATGTACTCGATTGAAATGATTTCTCTTCTTCGGTATAAAACATATAACAAATATGTATATAATGAATTACCTTTATGTGCAAAAACATTTGTAACATTACCATGACAACAAAGAACAAGATAAACGTCTGTGTCCAAATTCATTTGTTCGGTATTGTTCCCTCTTCATATATCAGGAATTAACAATAAAAAGTAGCGACTCAAAACAATTCGTTCAATTACGTGTCTGATATTGCGTTAGTTATTGAGAATAATTATGAAAATTTGAAAATTTGTTAAAAGGCCAGCAGAAACGAAGATCCGGACGTCGATACAGAGGCAGCAATGCAGGACGCTCAAAGGCTGCTTGAAGCTGGCGAGGGCCAGTGGGGAACTGACGAAAGTACATTCAACGCTATTCTTATTACCAAATCTTACCCGCAACTGCGAAAGATTTTCAGTGAATACGAACGTCTCGCCGGAAACAATCTGGAAGACGCAATCAAGAGAGAATTCTCAGGCGCCATCGAAGACGGCTACCTTGCAGTCGGTAGGATATAATGTATAATATACACTAAACGCCAAATAAGAGCATAACTGTTTCGCGCGTCTCGAATGAGCAGGAGAGGTCTCTCGAACCCCTGGTTCCCCCACTTTCTCGCTTTCTGTAACAGGGACGATAGAATTTGTCATACACCGGGTGACATAATGAAGTATTTCTCAAGACATGAATACTTATGAATTGGCACGTTTGTACTTCACAGTCACTCGGTGTATGATGCTACACGAGGCATAATGATGCTCAATTGTTTAAGAGGTTGGTAACTAAGGTAACCGAGAGGAATATGCGCGAACAAGACCGAAATTCGTCATTTCGCAATTATGGTCTTACTTGGTTTTTAATGTACATGCATTTCTAATAAGATAATTGATTTTTATAACGAACACTTTGATATATTTATCAGTGGCATGATAAAGGTTAAACATTTTATAATTCAAATTCACTTTGATGTATAGCATTTTGATCTATGTATTTAATACGAGTACTATGACATATTACTTATGCACATCCCTGTTGTTAATTGATAAATTCATGGAATTCGGTATGCTTTTAACTCTGATATGCCCAATTTTTGTTTCCAAATGATACTTTCTTCTACATAACATTATTCTGTTTCATATCATTTGCAATATTTTATGAGGAATTAGTTCAATCTTTAGTGTATTTTTTAGTTATTTTTAAGTGATTTGTGTGTGATCTGTGCAATGTGAAAAACAATGAAACACAGGCACTTACTAGGTGTCCTTATGATAGAACGGTGGGCATAAGTATTCGGGTTAATCAAAGTCTAAAGACAATAGGATTTGCAGATTGAGCATGTAACCTACCAAAATATGTACAATGAAAACTTCGCAGACTTTTACTTAATTTACTGAAACAACAAAAACATAAAAAGAAAACAATATGAAAATAATGATTCAAGTACCTACTTAATAAAGAAGACTGTTACTTTGAGGAAGGTCAAGAAAGGAACAAAGTATTTCCAGCACATTTCTTCGTTACCATTTTTAATCTGTAACTCAAAAAGATCTACAGATTATAAATGTATATGAAAATAGTCCTTGTTATAACTTTTGATATTGCCATAAAAAGAGTGGAAAATTTTGAAAGGACCAGATAACTTGCAATCTCTGTACATTTTAAGTACACTGGCTCATAATTTTTTGTATAATTTTGAAATCGAATAATCGTACTGATTCAGTTTGGTGTTGGTCTGTTTCAGTGAAATGTGCGCGTGATAAGACTGGATATTTTGCAGAGCGACTATACAAAGCAATGAAAGGACTCGGAACTGACGACACGACATTGATACGTGTAGTCATAGCTCGTTCAGAAATTGATTTAGGAGATATCAAAGACACCTACCAAAGAATGTACGGACAGTCGCTCGCAGGCGACATCGACGTAAGTTGAAACCACAATGTACATAGTCCCGGAATCAAACCTTTGAGAGTGTTTCTGGAAATTCATTTTCTACGTAACGAGTTTACGTCACGTATTAATTACAGTTGAAATTTATCATACATTAATTATTTATTTTACAAAAATGTTGGAGGACCCGGAAATGGGAGACTCATGAGGTGATTTGAAACAAGTTTTTCCTTAGCAAAAATGTTATCCGAGGCTTTATTAACAAGATATTAACGAAAAACACCGATCAATCAGAGCGCGAGTCTGCCGGCCGAGTTCCCGCAATGACGTTGGCTACCAATCACAGCGCGTAGCCAACGTCATTGCGGGAACTCGGCTGGCAGACTCGCGCTCTGATTGGTCGGTGTTTTTCGTTAATATCTCGTTAACAAAGCCTCAAATAACATTTTTGCTAAGGAAAAACTTGTTTCAAATCACCTCACGAGTCTCCCATTTCCGGGTCCTCCAACATTTTTGTTACACCCTGTATAAAGTACTCACACAACTTTCACAAGTTGTTCTATGTACATCATACTCTAAAATAATAGATAGAATTATAACTCTGCAAAGTATGAATGTTTATTAGTGTAGCGTGAAATTGCCTCTGCTGGAATTACAGAAAACAGCGTTCTAAAAAAAAAAAATTATGAAATTAGATGTTAGTATTGTTACAGTGACGCCATCTTTAATTTTTCGAACCAGTGTCGATCACAAACTTTTGTTTATCTTTGATAGTCCATCAATAGTCATTTATAGATAGTTCAAGGTGTTTAAAAATATTTTCAATTTCATTAAATATTCCGGAGAAAGAAAGAAAATTGAATTACCAAATAATTAATTATTACTGTTACATGTCACTGTAATATTAACGAATTGATTCTGTATAATTAAATCGAATATGAAAGTATTCGAATTGGAATTTGTAAAAATGAGTAAAAAATATAATTAAACATGAGGTATAGAATACTACTAATATACGTAAAATTTCGATATATAATGTCCAGTAAATTATTAGTCCCAAACTTTCGCAGAAACACTCTTGAATGTCTAGATTGCGTATCATCTACTAAACTGTGCACATTATAAACGTCTTAATTCTACTGCCTAGCACAATTTGTTTTTAACTTTTACTTTACTATACGACGGCTGTCCATGACTTTCCATGAATTTCAGGACGACTGCTCAGGAGACTACAAGAGACTCTTGCTTACCATACTCGGATGAAAGCATTTCATGTACAACAGCACCCTTTTGTTTTGCATCACACACTTTAATGTATCAGGGATAATTCTTCGCGATAGTTCCGCGAAGCTTTGTAGATGCTTAAGTTAATTCCGTTCTTTTAGTTCGATTCGACGATCGGTGGTGATTATGGTGTTGCGTGGTTTCCTTTTGTTAATACTTCTGTTATAAATGATTTCTACCGCGGAAGCGCTTCATTCACATAGATACAAACTACATGATTTAGTCTCCGTGAGACCGACCAAATAAATTATATTAATAGTTGCCCTTATTGTTATTAAAATTCATTTGTTAATTGTATTCCCGTGTCATTGCCGAACTAATTCTACTAATTAACCCAATCAGCTACACGTGAGATAAAAAGTTGACCCCAAGCGATGTTTTAAATTAATTTCGACGGATTCTTTGGCTTTTCTTTTCCTTTTTTATAGTATTACTCGAAACGAACGGTATGCTCTTCTCGTCTAATGATTAATATAAAAGTTTATTAGAGAACATACTTGGGGATACGTATACGTCTCACGTGTGATTGGCCGTTTAAAATGTCGTGACCCTCACGATTAAGAATCGCTTTAACAGTCTGTGTGCATGTATCCTGACACAAATACAGTATTATATCATTTTGTACAGCATTAACATCGCTTTAATTTTGTTCCCACATTCTGTTTGCATTTACAGAGCGACTGCGGCGATGAATTTAAGCGGCTTCTGATCGCACTTTTGAATTAATGAAAATCATGGAAGGGAATGCGCGTACACACACCCCCATATACTATTTTATGTAAGAATTACCTAACACCAAAAACGTTAACAACACGCATCCCCACGTAACTGTAATACCGACATTTGTTTTTAATAAAATCTTGCACGTTTCGTCGACGAGCAACGTTCATTTTATCGTAAGATCGAGTGCCCGTACACCGAGAACACCTGTGTCTTCTCTTGTTTCCAGAGCGATTGCGACGCTGAGTGGAAAAGACTTCTGATCGCGATGCTGAATTAAGAAAAAACGATTCAGCCACGTTCGGTGATAATACGTCCGGATTATAATACTCGATCGTTTCGGCGGTATTTAAAATCATGCAGCGTGTGTTTAGGCGATTCGATCTGATTCAAGGTTCCATGTATCAGGGGATAAGTATTGACAAACCGTTGATAAATACGGAGGACTTTGGAAAAGTCAATCGAGGAATGAAATTTTAATACTCTTTATTAAACATACGAGTCGATGGTACTAGGCGAATCAGTGTCTATACAAAATTCTTGAATGGCCAAAGCATCAGAATACGTGAAATAAGGAAATAATTCGCTGCATCAAATATATTTTAATTCTGAACCCTTACATTGTTAAGTGAACTGAGATAACGTCGAAATACATACATTCCATTTTTTTTAGATATATTTGATAATATAGTTTGCATTTTATTATTATATTTTATATATTTTCTATTCTTATTATCACAGAGACATACATTCCTAAATTCTTTTCACGATTTAAGAATATAAGTGCCGTGACTATAGCTATTAAAATTTATAAAACTTTACAGTATTTAAAAACTTTATTAAATCTATAGTGAAAAATATTACAAGAAAATGTTTATTGTTCCACACGTTGGATTCATCAGTATTTATTTTGGCAGCTTTCCAGATTGGAGATATTAAATAGTAAAGGCTATTTTCTGCACCGTATTTTCAAATAAATGTCTATTGAAAGAAAATTATGAACCAACGTTTTTTACTTAACCTTCTGCATTAAATATACTAAACATATACACAAAAAACAAGGAAAGTGATTGTACAGAAATAATAAAAATAAATGTCGCCTTTTTTTTGTATTAGAAATTTTTCAATATTTATGAATTTACATTTGCAATGTCTGATTTTTTTTATGTGAACTTTCTTAACAAAAGGCTTACAATTAAAGTAATCTTGCAATAATTGTTATTAAATTTACTTCTTTTTATTTGAATATTCATCACCCACGACAAAAGATATTTAAGACATAGTCTAAGATAGCATTATTGAAAAATATTCAGGTAACTCGATCATGCAATTTACCGATCAGATTACTGATTTTAGTAACATATTTCAGGATGATATAAAATAAAGCATGTAATGTGCACGTAATAATCGATGGATCTTAATTTTTCGTTAGATTTCATTCGAACCAACTTCGCATCATTAATAGATAACCACCAATTTAAAAAAATTCCGTTGAAAATGTTGAATTTAAAACATTTAAATCTTTGACACTCTATACAACCAATGCAAATGACGTCGATACGAATAATTATGGACTAATTCAACGATATTCAAGTGGCTCGAACCATCAAGTAAAGAAGTTTCGAAAGACATAAATCTTTCAGAATGTGTGAAAAACCGTCCAATAGTGAAAACCAAAATCCAGAAGGACATAATACAATAAATATCAGCAAATCTATTGTTCACAGATTAGAATATGGTAATAATGCCTTCAATACTAATTATTAAAATTGAGTTTAATGAATCACAGTTTTGAACTACTAACGAGTCTTTAAGGGAATGATGTCGCGACATACATTGTATTTAAGAAGAAAGACATGTACAAACTTGAGTTTGTAACATATTTTGTACGGTGATTTTACATAGAAAATGCACATTCACAAGATTTAATACAATCTGAATATTAACTGTCTATGAAGGAAAGAGATTATTTTCATAGAAAATGTTGACCTAAGAGAGTAAAGTGATTTCTATTTACATACATAATAGGTATTTAAAAGTATGGGATAATTTAAAAAAATCAACAATATGCAATAAAATAATGTGAAAAATTCTTATGTACATACAATCGGTGTCTCCGGGTTGGGAAACCTTCGTTGTTAGTGACCCACGGGCTAGTATTAAAAAAAATAATGAACAAAATTTGACCCACTTCTTAAAAAGGTTCGCCATCACTGTACTAGGGCATACATACAGGGTCAATCGCTCGCTGCTAGAGGCAAGTCGCCTGCTTTATCGTTTAACGGCACCACCTCCCCCCCCCCCCCCCCCCGCCAGTGGTGGGGTTGACGCCTGGACAATAATCGCATATCAACTTAGAATCAATAATCGCGAGGCCCCTGTATTACCGAAAACCGAAATAAATACCGGTATTTTTTCGATTTCTATAAGGATAGGGCTTGTATAAGGTTATAATAGGGCGAAGGTATAACCGAAAATATCGGTATAATACCGGTATTTTACGTTTCGTTCGAAGTCCCTGTTCTAGAAACCCTATCATAAATTCTCCAATAGTCAATGAGCGATAGGCCAATCGCCTTCGATTCCATTTAAAACACGTTGACGCTAACACATTTACAAAAACGAGTAGACATATCCTAAAAATAGTCTCCATAAAGCATTGTTTATTCAAGACATGGTAGCAGGCAAGGAAGAAGATATGGACTACGAAGATGAGTGGATCAATAAATTGGCTGCGATCGACGATGAACACTCGAAGAAATACGGCTTAAGTACACGCGATGCAGAAAGGCTCCTTGACAAACTTACTAGTACATACGCATATAAAAAGTGTGAAAAGAATTGTCCTGTTCAAACAGATCGAGTAAGAATTTATTTATTTTGAAAAAATATCGGACTATACGGTTATGAGACTTAAAACATGTTTTTCTATATAGACACTCACAAACATGAGTAAAGTTTGTATAAAATCCGCCTATGTAGTATTATGTACTCCATAGGGATAATATATTTGTTTCGTTAATGTTAACGTTAGAAGTAACAATCATAACATATATCTGCATAAACCTTGATTATTATACTTTAGACTAGTATGCATTCAGATGAGAAATTATGAATATGTTTCTTTAACCTTTATATGAATGACCAGATACTGCAGATACCCATTTCCAACTAGTGTTTAAAAATTTGTTTTATCCTGTTAAAATATCGCAAAATCCATCAGGAAAGGTCAACAGAAAGTTGAAGGGAAAGCAGGCAACCGATTACGTTGCTGTAAGTTTGATTTTCCTGAGCAGGATCACTTAGAATCGCTTAGTACCCAGTTATTGAATAACGTAGCAAATTTTAGTTATTGACACGAGGGTTAGAAACGCATTGTTATTTCTAGCCGTAATAGAAGAACTCGTACACCAAATTTCACAAGCGGACTACATACTTCAGTCTAGGCACAACAAATTAAAACTTATAGCAAGATAGTGGAGATATGGGACAAAGTATTTAGTAAAATAAGTTTGTATAAAACAAATATTCAATTTTCACAAATACTTTTGTGTGCGTTCTTTTGTTACTTCCTCTGATAAGAGTATTTTTTAAAGTAAACAATATACAATTTCTTAATAGAATGCATCCTAATTTAGATTAGGATAAGTGTATTAATCTAGATTTATACTAATGTAAATTATAATTAGTATTTCTGACTTAAGTTTTAGTAGGTTCGTAGATTCCACGAGATCTAGTACATTCATACAAAATGTTAAATTAAATTCTGCAATAATTTATATTGCAAAATCGTAAGTACGGCAGCGCTTCGATTTCCATAAAAATCGCCTGCTTTCGAAAATTATTCTATTTCGATTCAGTTCCTCGCGTTATTGTGATTGTTTTAGAAAAATTGAATCTGTGCCAATATTTTTCTTCATCACTGTACACGCGCAATAGCCTTCTATAAAATAGTTCGAGCAGACTCGTGCATTGTTTAACAAGGGTTAAAATTAAATGTAATCTGAAAATCATAAACATACTACGAATTTTATGCATTTATAACAATAATGAATACGCGAAATACTATAGATTACTGATTGTAATAATATTTAACAGAATTTTCATTCTTTTGTAAATTTGATAGATATTTTCATTGAAAGGACAAACATTAATTGATTTGACATTTTTTGTAAAGTTGTCTGAAAAAATGTAGATTTGCAAAAACGTCCGCAGCCTAATAGTAAAAATCATGAAATTTAAATGTCCACCTTATTTCACTAAATATTACTCCCCAATCCAATGAAATTGTTGTTTTTGTTAATTATTTCGTAAAAGATTCGTGTAGATACTAACAAAAATGCATAAAGTATTGTTAATTGAAGGTAACTGATTGCTTGAGAGGGAATAAAAACGACAGGCTGAGTTGCCAAAAGGACATCGAAAACTTTAAGACGTGTATTGACCAATCATTATACGATGCCATTCGCAGGGATACAAAAGATGTGCGACCAAAAGACGGGAAGAAGGAAAGTTACTCCGAAGCATTCGAACGAAAATATTAAATTTAATTATTACAAAGCCAGAGGAACGAAATTAATAGTATGAATGCTCATAAACGTTAATGAAAACAAAATAATTTTAACAAATCAATGAACAATTTTAATTATTACTTAAAAAAGATTAATCTTTTTGCAGAAAATATATTGTAACAAAATTAATACAGAAATAAAAATTAAATAGAAATACATTGTTTCAGTAGATTTATTAAACGAAGAAAAATTTGAAATCTGTCTTTACTAAAACTTTCGCTTCATTGTGTCAAATTCAGTTAAAGCTACATATGTACTTTGGATGCATAAAATACGCACTCCACTTATTGTGTATTAGTAAGCCAATGAAATTCTTCTTGTTAGGTAGATATATCAATGAACGATCCATTAATTTCTTCGTAGGATACAATTTCAATGAAATTTCATGCATCTTCTTATGTTGAAATTAATAAAAATATACAACTGTAGGAATAATTTTTAATAAATATTTTTCGATGCATCAAACGTCCTGGCATTATGTTTCATGTTAAGGTCAAACTGCAGAAAAGCTACCTACCCTCCGAATTCGATAATTTTAGGATATGTTGTAAAACTCGACATTTTGAACAATTTTTTTCTATACATATAACGGGGGAGTTCCTTGGTTTCCGAAATATTTGCGAAAAACTGCCGGTGTTAATAACACATTGAATTTTGCCTATAGTTGTGTTTATTTGACTACAACAGTGTAACGATTCATTCTTAGCAGAGTTATTCACGTGAATGGACATTTAATTTCATAGAATTGAAAATCGATTAGTATAATGCTTCAATGTTTGTTAGACAACTCAAGAAAAAAAAGTAATTCAGAGTTGCTTGAAGACAGTTTTTTTTTCTTGAATTGTGTCTAATCAACTCTGAAGCATTATACTAATCGAGTTGCAATTCTATGACACTAAACGTCCGTTTACGTTACTACCTCTGTTAAATAAGAATGAATCCTTATTCTGAATCAATCAAATAAATGAAAGTTAAGGTTAAGCTTAGCGAAGCTAATTCAATGCACTAGTATCGGCACTTTGTCGTGAATATCTCGGAAACTAAGCAACTTCCCCCATTATATGTATCGGAAAAATTTGTTCAAAATGTCGAGTTTTACAACATATCCAAAAATCATCCAAATCGGAAGATAGGTAGCTTTTCTACAGTTTCACCCATGTTAAAATGACCGGCGAAAAGTATAAGAAATTTTTTGTGAATTTTGGTAATTAGTAACTATTATTATTCAATAAAATTACATAAGTGTAAACAGTTGATATAATTTGGTTTCACTACTTCAAAGTTAATCATAAAATTGAAGGTTGTACGATTACATTTTTCACGCCATTATTTATCTTAAAATGTACGAATACGACTATTACCGTTCACCCCCTTTATTCTGAACATTTTGAACTGCTTTTTCAATGACAGCTTTCCACATCTCTGGTTCATTTTCCGTGAACCATTCTGAAATTTTGTCGAAAAATATTACTTGCTTCGGTGTGCACTTTTTGCATTTTGTCACAAAAGCTTCAGGAAATCGGTCTGTAACAGAGTAATAAAACTAATGTAGCGCTACTAACACAGAAACGCGTGAAAATTTCTATTTATTTATATACTGGACGAGCGAAGCAAATCCTTCATAGGCCACTTCTTGCACTTTTGTGGTGAGTGATACTCCTTTCACGTAAATATCTCGTTAACTATTAGGTTTAGAATGTATGTAGGTCAGCACATTTTTACTCAGAATTTGATACTCTATCGATTTATAGTACCAGAAATAGGTCATTCCGTTAAAAAAAATCAAGGTGACCTTATAAGATGGGCCCCTTGATGCCATTTAAGTTCCACGCTTCAAAATTTTCATAAAGTGTACCGTTCAGTCATTATTCGAGGTAATCAAGTTAGCTAAGACACCCTGTGTACCTAGTGGCTGCTTTGTATGCACTTCTAAACTATAAAGAAACCCACAGACACTAATACGAAGTATCTGTAGCGGCAACGAATCCTTCACGGCGATAGATTCGCAGCAATGAGACTTTCAACTGTCCCTCACAAGATACATTTGTTGTAATTCAATAAGTATTAAACACATTTTTACAGTGACCATTGTAAAAATAATTAGCAAAGATTCCCATTATTGTTGCATCAACCCAATATGTATTAATTTGATAGAAAGTTTACCTTTGAAGTATTTTGCGTCTGCCGTAACACAGGGCCCTGTTTCCAAATAGCATTTCAAATACTGTTCTCTGAGCTTCGTATTCGCTAGAATTTCTTCGATGTCGATATCATCATATTTCGACGAGTACATCTCTTCCTCGGCGAATGCAACCACCAAAACGGCCGACATTACAAAGATTAGACGCATCATGTTTTTCAAATGCATTTTCTATATTAATAAGTTATCTGCAGAAAGAAAAGGAAAATTTGGTAAAATATAAATTTAAAGTAATAGCAAGTGACGTTTAATATTAAGACTCTTGGGAAATTTGTTATTTAAATTAAATATTTCCAGGCAAAACATCGCACGCGTGATTGCCTTAAACAATCAAGTGTATTAAATAATTAGTTATATACTAAGCATAGGTACGACATAACAATAGGGTAAGTCGTAAATAGACTACGGAAGTTTATGCAAATCGACAACTTTTAATAGTAATATATAATAACTACAATTGGACAGAACCTAGTTCTGACTTGATTAACCGTAATAGTGCAATTATAGTAAAACTTAGTAAATAATTAATTATTTCCCAGGTAGCACATGACGCCTTGAAGACGCCCATTTTACGGCTATTTTAAGTCTGAGGCGTTTTTAAGCCGTCATTAAGCCGTTTTAAACTGTCTGTGTGCTATCTGGGCTAATACATGACGCTTGATTGTTTAACCTTTGTGAAGGCAACCGGGTACCCACATTCAAATTTCCTGTCACAATGTGCTTTTGTCTAAATCAACACTTGGTATGTTATTGGAAGGGAAAACTAACCGTTTCGGAAAACTATGACAGTAAACTTATCTATGTTTATCTAATCTGTCAGAATAGAAGTATTCCGATTGCTCGAAAAACCGTGAATATTTTGATTGCCTACACAAGGGTTAAAGTAATCATGCGAGCGATATTTTGTCTGGAAATGGATAATTTAAAAAATTACACACTATAACCTTTTTTCCCTCACTTGTCACACGAAAGGTTAAAATTAATTCAGTAAGCACTAACAAGGGTAGCGAGATTATATGTATTCTAGTTTACGTATAAATCAGAAGTTAAAGAAGTACCTGGCACTGGTTCGATCGGTATCAGAACTATAGCCACTGCGAAAAAGATTTTCATATTTATAGCTGCAGCACTTGTAATTACTGGAACGAGCGAAATAAATTCATGGAAACCACTTAGGTGTAATTACTGGTTAAAAATGTAAAAGATATGTATTGTGCAGAGATGACTTGTCGGTTAGGCAATTTAATTGGCCGTCGCCTAAGGACGACACTTCTATCACACCCATTATCGTTATTGGCCGAATCGATCGCACCTGCAAGTCTATCGCGTGACGTAGAATACGAAGGAAACACATCGAGATTGAATGTGGTAGTGCGATAACGCCAGCGTTCGGTCAAACTTCCAAGTAATGCGCCTCAAGCTATGTACAGACATTGCGAAACTGCCTCGATCGAGTTGCCTCGCGTCTTGAATAGAATACGCGAGGCAAACAAGCGAGGCAGCCGAGCAGAGTATCCCTCTTGCCCCTGTGCCGTTCAGTTTTTCAAAGGATGTTTAATAATAATTGGCACTGATGTTGTCAATAATTCATTATCAAAGTTTACACCTTAGAAATTTTGTCTCCATCAAAATACTTTCTCAGTCGATGCAATGCACTTGTCCCATCTCCGTTGCCACTCCTGGAAGACGTGCAGAAAGCCATCCTTTGAGAATCGCTTCAGAATCGCTTCGAAAGCTTCCACCGCGAATAAGGTCATGGTCATCGTCTTCTTCGATTATAAGGGGATGGTGTACACACAAACAATTATAAAATATACTACAGTCACCTTGGAGTATTATAGAAACGTTCTGGATCAATCAATGAAGGATCACATAGGAAGAAACAGGAGGGAAACTGGTCGGAAAGTGGAAGCATTATCACGGCAATAGGGCCCTTGATACTCGGTTACACCGTTTTCGTGGAGCGGGACCCCCGACTGATTTTACAATTAGGCACTAGGTTTGAACATAAAACTCGTAATGTGAGACTTTTATGGTACTCGAACTTCATTCAGGGCCGTAGGATGTCAACACGGAACTGTTACTTCCTGTTTGGTATATTTAACAAAATTTTGGTACCGCATACAATTTGGAAAATATGTTATACAAATACATAATTTCTGTTTTTCACGGAATACGCACACATACATATATGTGTCGATAGATTGTTAAAACAAGTTTTTTCTTCTCGACGTTTTTTCCTGCATGAGCATACATAAGAAATAATGAAAATATATCATTGGAGTAAACAAGTAAATTGAGTAGCGTAATTTATATTCACGATAGATCTTTTTTGTAGTACCCAACCCGTTACAATTCATTTTCAACTTTTCCTTCGGAAATACCGGTTTTATTACACGTCATCTACTTTTCAAGATTGGAAGTAACTAATTTGCCATTCTAGAGTTGCTATTATATTTGTGCAAATACATATTCGTCGTAAACAAATGTTCAACTTGCAACATTCACGGAATAAGTTTATACATTTCTTAATCTTTGACAACTATATGTTACCTTTTATTAATACGTAAATTACATATTACTGAGCAAGAGTAATATAAGTAATTCCGTAAGATACGCACGGCCCTGGCTGCGGTTTCATCAATGGGCCTTCGGTCACCCGCAAAGTGCCTAGTTGTAAAATCAGTCGAGGGTCCCGCTCCACGAAAGCGGTATAACCAGATGTACACGTACGCTCAAACGTTGGCGAATGAACGGAACGCTCTTGCTCGCACTCTTGCGTGCGTAGAATTAACATTTGCCTCGACGTAAAAATTACAAACACACCTACATCTTTGCGTGCACGTCACATGTCGGAAATGGTCATATAAAAAAATCTCTGGATTCTTAATTTATTTTTAAATAAGAATTTATGATATAATGAACATTTTAACATTAGAAGTACCGAAGATGAACGTGTTTTTATTTCTATCACTCTGGTAAAAGAAAGAACTTGTTTGTTGAGTTAGTTGCAATAGTTAAAGACACACAAACTGATAAATTTACTAACTTCTTCAGTTATATATTGCAAGAAAAATAACACTCCTGTGATTGGACATTTTCTTGTACTATTGTAAAAATACAAGATACATACTATAAATGGTCATTTTAAATGAAGCATCCTATACAACATGATGTAATGTATGTATCATGTTCATTTATGTTCAATTATTAAGTCAACTATTAGCATACATACCTATTACTCGTAAAAAATGTTGACTGTGCAAAGGAAATGCATTACTCACCTATAAGTAAAATATTTACATTCGAATGACAGAAACATGCAACGAGAAAATTTATGCATTTTCTTGACACGTGTTACTGGCACCCTATAGTCTTCTGAACTCAAATTTAACATAATGAGAGTACTGCGTAACAATCTATAATCCATAATATAAGTATGTGTAATAGCAATTTAAATGATTATGTAACCTAGGTTATACAACATTGAATAACACACTATAAAAACGTATAAAAACATACCCACTAAAAAGTATGAAAGAAGAAAATTTATTATTGAACTTCTTCAGAAACCTGTCCAATTGTTAGCAGTGCGTGCTGTATTATCTCTGCCTTATGTATTAACAACTTGTGCACAGAAGTCGGCATATAGTATCAACTTTAAACATTAATAAGTTGGAGAGAAGTTCGTAGGGGGAAATGATTCTTGCGTGACTAAAGAAAGGTATAAAGAAGTGTATAAAGAAAGGTATACTGAAAACATTCCAATTTCTGAGAATATGGAATTTTTTAGAATCCAAAAGATATTCCTTGTCAATTATGGAAAACTTCGACAATTCTCTTTACTCCATTGAGCATGATTTTTTAAATAAATTATTAACGACAATTCTTAATTCAGCGTGTGAATTCTTAAAGCGAAAGAATGTTCTTTATTTAAAACAAAAACGAAGGAAACATATCACTGATTCAGTCAGAGTTGTCAGGGAATCTTGAAGTAATAATTTAAAAGTAACTAAAGAAAGGGAGCGAAATAAATTTTCGACGACTTCTACAATGGATCAATTTATTCGATACACACACATGTCTTGAAAATAGATTCTTGAAATCATAGTCGCCGATTTCCTATACTTACACTTATAAGTAGTTATTCTGTACCAGAGAAATAAAAAAATATAATAAATCAATTTTCATTGAACAAGTCGGTGATTAATAAGTTTACAATATATCAACAGCAAATAAAAATTTACTATATCAGCCGATATAATAGTTTGTAGTAAAAAAAATAATTTAATTAAAAATATTCCATATTGTTGTGCCCAATATATCTTTATTTAATGGCACGTTATTAGTTGTCAAACTGTAAACTTTATATAACTCGTTCGTTCCAAATAATATCTCATGCCAACACAAGAAATGTTGATGTATTATTGAAGTATTATTGAAGAAATATTATTGAAGTTAGCAAATTTTTTTGTGGAATTTGAATAATTCTTTGAGAACACCCATCCTGATTTTTGTGATTATGGCAGCACAGCAACATCAAGTTTCATATTTACACAAAATCATAATAAGTGCTCATAAATTATGCTACAAGATCTGAGGCTATGATTTTTGTCACAATTTATTTCATTTTTTACAGAATAGATACATAATTATATAGGAAGAATAAAGAACAATTAAAACGAATAGTGTAAAAGATTAATTTAATACGTTCTGTGATCAAATTTACCATTGGAACTTTGATTGCTTGACTTGCACACACCCAGGACAATAATATCTCGAATTTCGTAATCGGAATCCGGTAATCAATTTCCTAGACTCTAATCTCGTTTCGAACCTTTAACTCGTTTAGCATTATGCTATTAACTTACGAATAAATATTTATAATATATATACGAATACATACAATATACATATAATATACTACAATATGTTCAACAACAAATTGTATATATGCATATACGCATGCATATTTATGTACAAAGTACAGCATCTTACGTTGTAATCGAATACATGTTTATCGCTATTACTTACACAATGTAATGGTTCAGAGAAAAGTCTATAGCGTAAACACGTTATTTTATCCCCTCCCCTTTCACCCTTCCCTCGAATATATGTAAACTATAGGAATGTTCGTGGTTTGTATAAATTGTTGTTGTGGTTCAACTCTTGCATGAAATTGACTCATTTCACTCAACAGCAAGTGAACAATATTTTTGTTTGCTCTCACGGTGCTTGTACAAATGAAGATTTTAGTACGATATTCCGTCACCATATCAAACAATTTTTATATGAAACATAACATTTTGCATATATATGTATATACATATATATGAAAAAATTCAAGTGTTAATTGAATAGCCTATTTTAAGAGTTTCATTTTACATGACGTAATTAATATGTCTTACTGCATAATGCATTGCGTTAATATGTATAGGTATAATAAGCTACCTTAATTAAAAACAGTAAAACAATTTTTTAATTTACGTCATTTTAACGACGAACGAAGTATCGCGAACTGTTTGTCAGTAACATCACCATTAATTAACATTAGGGTGGTGTCAAATTAATGCCTCGTTTGTATCTATAATTGTAACATTTCCTTCTGTAATAATACATTTAAATAAAAAATAGTCTATCAATGAATATATGCTTCACAAGAATATACTAATATCATTTTTCAAGAATAACTATATTTCTTTTCACGTTTAACAATAGTTATTAACAATTCTTGAACATAATGAAATCACAAGAAGTTCGAAACAACGGAGAATGTACATTTCACATTTGTAAGATAACACAAGACTAAATTGGTAGGTATTTCTCAGGAATTTTTATATTACATAGAACACTTGTTACTTTACACATGGTAGTGGAGTAGCAAAAGTGATTGAAACACCTATCTGAAATTTCATCAGATATTTGATGCTATGAAATACATGTTGTAACAATAATAACACGTAAATACGTACACAGGATGTCCCATGCATTAATTTCCATTGATTCCTACCACCACAGCTGCGCTCGACCCGCGGCGCCCTGTATTCGACGTACTGATTAGTGATGGGATCAAGTGTAT